ATTTTATTCACTCTTCTTTGCTCTGGATGAGGAGAGACCAATTGCTGCATCTAGATGGCCACTTGCAAGCTTTTAAGATCCTAGTCGCTACTCATCAAAGTAGGATGTAGAACAATTTTTTTTGTGTACTATGTTATGCCAGTTGAGCTTGATGTCACCTGTGACCATGATTCTGAGCCCATGGGCCCAGTGACTCATTTCCTCAGGGTGTTTGGCTGTGGCTAAGAAATTATCATCACTTTGTCCTATTGGTTCTACTACATATATGGATATTCTCTCTCTTTTTTTTAATTGTGATTTGGGTGAAAGTTTACAGAGCAAAATCACTTTCCATACAGCAGTTCACATACACTTTGTCTCATGACATTGACTAAAATTTACCACAATGCAACAGCTCCCCTCCCACTTCCTCCTGATAATTACCTCTTCTCTGTGTCCATCCCTCCATGCACTCCTGCCTCCTGAGTTGTCTCCCTATGCATAAACAGCCCTTCTTTTTCCCATGATTGTTCTCTCCAAGGAATGTATCTACCTCGGGTAAATATTCAACTCATATGCCTGTATATAGACATTCTTATAGGAGCTCTGGTAGCATAGTACCTAAAGCACTTGACTGCTAACCAGAAGGCTGGCAGTTCAAACTCACCAGCCACTCCTCGGAAGGAAGGTTGGGCAATCCTACTTCTGTAGTGATACTGCCTTGGAAACCCAAGGAGGGGTCGCCTATGAGTTGGGGCCGACTCGATGGCACATAACAACAACACCTGGTCATTTAGCCTACCTATATATCCACCTGTAGATTAATGTTTGTTATTACAGATAATGCAGTATTATGTATGTAAAAGTGTTTATCTTTGTTGTCTCTACCTCGTGTACACCTCTCTGTGTCTTCCTTTTCCTTAGTGTTATTGTGTTGGCTACTTGCTTTTGGTAAATTGCCTTTCCTTTCACCCAAATCAATACTTATCTCTTACCTACCTAGCGATTCAACTTTTTACAGCTGTAAAGTTTATTGAAAGCAATTGCAATAATTGGCTGTGCAACTTTACCCTTAATCAATATGATTTTTCCTTCACTGTTAACCCCTCCTTCTATCTCACTCATGATCCTGGTAACTACTCATAAACTTTGGTCTCAATATATTTGCCTTTTCTTGTCTTTTTTATATAAATAAGATCAAACAATATTTGTCCCTTTGTGATTGGCTGATTTCTGTCAGCATAATGCCTTCAAGCTCCATCCATACTGTAGCACGTATCAAGACCTCATTTCTCCTACTGGCTGAGTATTTCATTAAACGTATGTACACATTTTGTTTAGGAGCTCTGGTAGTATAGCACCTAAGACTATAGGTTACTTGACTACTAACCAGAAGGCTGGCGGTTCAAACCCACCAGCCACTCCTCGGAAGGAAGATGGGGCAGTCTACTTCCGTAGTGATACTGACTTGGAAACCCAAGGAGGGGTTGCTATGGGTCGGGTCTGACTTGATGGCACATAACAACAACAACAACAACAACAACAACACACATTTTGTTTATCCATGCAGCTATTAATGGGCATTAAATTGTTTCCACCTTTTGGCTATTGCAAATACTGCTGCAATGAACATTGGTATACAAGTCTCTGCTTTCAAGTCTTTTGCGTATATACCTAAGAGTGGAATTGCTGAGTCATATGGTAGTTCTGTGGAGCTCTGGTGGCACAGTGGTCAAAACAGTCAGCTGCTAACTGAAAAGTGTCCAGTTTGAACCCACCAACTGTTCTGCAGGAGAAAGATGAGGCAGTCTACTTCCTGTAAAGATTTACAACCTTGGAAACCCTATGAGACAGTTCTACTCTGTCCTATAGGGTCGCTATGAGTTGGAATCGACTTGATGACAGTGAGTTTGGCTTTTTTTTTACATGGTAGTTTTGTTTTTACTTTTTTGAGTAAATGTCACACTGTTTTACACAATGGCATTTTATATTCCACCAGTGATTGGATAAGGGTACCAATTTCCCCACATCCTTGCTGCTAAAAAGACAAGGAGGCCAAATGTTCTGACATCCTTTAATCCCACAAGAGGAAGACAGAATCACCATCAACAGCCCAAGGCCTATTACTGCAAGGCCAGACATGCTGCCTCCCTCCAGTCCTTTCACCAAACGTTCCTCCCAAAGCACCCACCACCTCTCTCTGGGTTCAATAATTCACTGCAGTGGCCACACAGAACTCACAGATTACGGGGTTTATTAGGGAAGCAGCAGGCTACAATTCAAGTTCAGGAAAAACACTCAGTCTCTCTCCCAGCCCACAGTCTCTCTCCCAACAGTGCTTGTCCCTCGGTGTCTCACTCAGCAATGTGTGTCTCTTGCATTTCTTTCCCAGCAGTGCATGTCTCTTTCAGGAGCGTGTGTCTCTTTCAGCAGCACATCTTCCTCAATCAGCAGTCAGAGCCACTTCTGCCTCTAGGAGGCCACCTTTTGAGCCTGGCCAAGTGGCCAAACTAGCCAAGCATAACATCAGAATTCTAAGCACCTGAGAGAGAGAGAGAGAGAGCTGCCCAGAACATGGCTTTGTGCCACTCCCAACAGAAATACCCCAGGTGGATAACTTTACAATCAGGAGCTCCTCATTTGCTCACAATAAATTCCACCACAGAGTTTACAAAGACTTATGGCTGAACGACTGAGATCTTAAAAGCTTGCAAGCTGCCATCTAGATGCAACGATGGGTCTCTCCTCATCCAGGGCCAAGAAGAATGAAGAAAACCAAAATTCATGGAAACAATCAGTCCTAGTGACTGGTACACCATCCGATCTGCAGCCTATATGACTATGAGACCAGAAGAAATAGATGGTGCTTGGCTACTACTGTCAACCACTTGGAAGAGGATCTTTGTAGGAGATCCTGGATAGGCAGGGGGAACAATGTGGAACAAAACTCAAAATCATTTGAAAAAAAAAAAAAAGCGGGGAACAGGTTTGCTGGCCTGATGGAGCCTGGTGGAACCACTAGACTATGGCCCCTAGCTGTCCTTCAGGTCTGGAATTGAACACATACCTGTAGCTTCCAGCCAAGAAGTAGACAGGCATACTAGTTGAGCATTTATCTGAGGTAGATACACTCCTTGGAGAGAACAAGTAAGAGGGAAAGAAGGGCTGCTCAGGCACAGGGAGACAGCTCAGGGGTTAGGAGTGCATGGAGAGATGGTCACAGGGAAGCGGTACCTGTTGGGAGGAAGTGGGAGAGGAGATGTTGCATTGTGCTAAATAGTGGTCAAGGTCATGAGACAAAGTGTATGTGATCTGCTGTATGGAAAATGTATTTGCTCTGTAAATTTTCACCCAAATCACAATAAAAATAAATATTAAAAAAAAAAAAAAGACTTATGGCTAGAAAAGCCAAACAAGGTAATTTACTACAGTGCACTTGCCAACATTTGTTATTTTCTGCCCTTTTCCCCCCTTAATCTTAACCATCCTAGTAGGAGTGACATGGTATTTCATTGTGGTTTTGATTTGCATCTTCCTGATGGCTAACAATGCTGAGCATATTTTTCGTGTGTTTGGTGGGCATTTGAATGTACTCTCTGGTAAAATGTCTATTCGAGTCCTTTGCCCATTGTGTGATTGAGTTGTCTTTTTTGTTAAGTTGTTGAAGTTTTGCATATATTTTGGTTATTAGATTCTTGTTGGATATATAGTTTCCAAAGATACTCTCCCATTCTGTAGCTTGTCTCTCGACAAATGAAAGTTTTACATTTTTATGAGGTCCCATTTATTTATTCTGTCCTTCATTGCTTGTGGTTTTGTTATTATATTAGATAATCCATTGTTGAAAGCTCGGTCTGACAGCATTGCCTGTGCTTTTTCTTCTAAGAGTGTTATAGTTTTAGTTTGCACATTTAGGTCCTTAATCCATTTTGAATTTGTTTTTGTGTATAGTGTGAGGTATGGATCTAGTTTCATCTTTCTGCATATGGAAATCCAATTTTCCCCACACCATTTACTGAAGAGTCTCTTCTTTCTCCATTGAATGGACTTAGCACCCTTTCAAAAATCACTTGACCGTAGATGTGTGAGTTTACTTCTGTACTCTCAATGCTATTGGTTTACATGTCTATTATTATACCAATATCAGGTTGTTTTGATTACTACAGGAGAAAGATGAGGCAGTCTACTTCCTGTAAAGATTTACAACCTTGGAAACCTTACGAGGCAGTTCTACTCTGTTCTATAGGGTTGCTATGAGTTGGAATCGACTTGATGACAGTGGGTTTGGCTTTTAAAGTAAGGAAGTGTGAGTCCTTCTACTTTGTTCTTGTCTTTCAACATTGTTTTAGCTATTTGAAGCCTCTTGCCATTTCATATAAAGTTGAAGACTGGCTTTTCTATTTCTATAAAGAAGGACTGTTGGAATTTTGGTCAGGATTGCATTGAATCTATATATTGCTTTAGGTAGTATTGATATCTTAACAATATTAAGTCCTCCAATCCATGAACATGGAACATCTTTCCATTTATTTAAGTCTTCTTTAATCTCTTTCAGGAGTGTTTTATAATTTTCATTGTATAAGTCCTTCACGTCCCTAGTTAGATTTATTCCTAGGTTACTTATTCTCTTACATGCTATTATAAATGGAATTATTTCCCTTTCAGATTTCTCATTACCGGTGTACAGAAACCCAATTGATTTTTGTTTGTTGACTCTGTACCTATAACTATGCTAACTTCCTCAATTAGTTCTAGAATTTTTCTTTTGGGCTCTCTGGGGTTTTGTGGTAGGTTCTTGAGCAGGGGAGTGATATTCTGTTAAAGGAACTTGATCTGACTGGATGTGCAGGGTGTGCTAGAATGATGACAACTTTCTTCTTTATTACCTCTCACTGGGAACAAGTCTTGACTCCCCACCAACAGTGAAAAGGCTTTAGCACTGATTCCTTGTTTCTCCCCCAAGCTCCTACCTTGGCTGGCACAGGGCTGCAGAGAGCCAGTGACATCAAGTGACCAGGTGGATGTGCCCCGATGAGAATTCCTTCCAACCCTTGCAGTTCCTACTGCTGGTGGGGGTTCTGGTGGCAAGTGCCCTCCTCCTGGCCCAGTGCCTTCGATGGCACTGTCCTCGTTGGCTCGTGGGAACCTGCCAGAAGCCAGGTGACACAGAAGATCCAGTGCCCCAGGCCACTCCTCTCCCTGAAAATGAGCCTTCAAGCCAGTGTCCACCAGCCACACTGCCAGAGATGGCTGCCTTCTACCAGGAACTGAACACACCTACCCAAGGCCAGACAGTCATCCGCCAGCTGATGCACAAACTCTTGGTATATTCAGCTCGAGAGGTGGACCACCGTGGTGGCTGCTTGATACTCCAAGATACGGGCATCTCTCTGCTCATTCCACCAGGTAAGAGCTTCCAGCCCCTCTCTTGGTCAAGTCCTCCATCCTCAAAGGTAGTGGACGGTTGCTCAGACTGTGTTGCACAAAAGCACTGCATCTAAGAGAGTGCCATTCAGAGACAGCTTCATAATTTTGGAAATTGCTTACTTTTTATTATAATTTTATTGACTCCAATAAAGTTATAACTTTATTGACTCTAAAGAGGGACATACTGTACATCTTTTATGGCAATTTTCTGGCAGATAGAAGTAAAGTAACTAGCTATAACAGAATTAGTATGACAATTGTCCAATCAATGAAGTAAAGTGTCTGGAAGAGTGGCTTTTGCAAATTCACACAAGGCATTTTATGGGCCAGAGGCAGCCCTGGGGGAACGTGGTGATTTGCTCTGGATGACACCACAAGTCAGCTCACAGTCATCTTGAGTCTCTTCCATACTGCCTCCTTGTGCTCCCTGCTGGGCACCTTCTCTTGAGGTTTTTCCCTCCCACCCTGCATCTTTTTCCATGGAGTGATTGTTGCCAAGCCCCTTTCAGCTCTCCCTCTCCCCAGGTGCTGTGGCTGTGGGCCGCCAAGAGCGGGTGTCTTTGGTCCTAGTGTGGGACCTGTCGGATGCCCCATCGCTGTCCCGGGCCCAGGCGCTGGTGAGCCCTGTGGTGGCATGTGGCCCCCATGGGGCCTCCTTCCTGAAGCCCTGCACCCTCACATTCAAGCACTGTGCCCAGCAGCCCAGGTATGCATGCACCTACAGTAGCAACACAACCCTGCTTGATGTCAAGGCCTGGAGGCCAATGGGGCGGCCGGGGGCCTACACCTCCCTGGATGAGTGTCGCATCCACCTCTCCCACTTCAGGTAGGCATCTGCCTATGGCCTGTCTCCCTGACTCCATTCCTCTGGAACTAACTGTTCTGTTCCTTTTCTGTCTGCCTGCCTAAACCTCCCTCATTCTATGGAACTGCTCCTTTATCTGTCTGAAATGGTCTGATAATCTTTTGTCCCCCTGTGCCCTTCTCCTGTCTCTCTGTCCAATTTAGTGTCTCATCCCAGCCCTGTCCTGGACTGTGCATCTCACTGCTCTTTCTCTGACTGTCCAGAAATGTCTTATTTAACACAGTTGCTCTGTCTAGAGGGGACTTGTCCCATCCCCACGCGTCTCTGAAATTGTCTATCTCTACCTAATCCCTCTCTTCAGCGTATTCCCTCCAGTGCCCTAAGATTGTATTTCATCCTAAATCTGTGCTCTGTCGTCTCTGTCTTTCTAGAGTCTTATGTCCTTCTATCTTCCAGTTTTCTTGTCATCCTATTGACTAGAGCAGGGCCATGTGTGGGATCTAGTCCCAAGGCTGGTGACTGAGCCCATCTCCCCTCTTTCCCCTGCCTGAGAGTACTTGCTGGTTTCCCTCTCCACTTGGTGATGGTGACTCCTTCTCCCCCTACCTCTCACCACCTTTTCTCTCAACCCACCGGGGCTGCTCTCCTAGCCTCTGTGGAGGCCCCTACGTGAGGGTCCTAGCAAAGGTGGTGCAGTAGGTAGGTGCATTGACGCCTCAGCCTCCACCGCTTTAGCTACCTCTGTCTCCCTCCGCAGCCTCTACACCTGCGTGCTGGAGGCGCCTTCGGGGCGCGAGGCCCGCAAATGGCTGCAGCTGGCAGTGTTCTGCTCACCTCTGGCGCCAGGGCAGTCACACCTGCAGCTGCGTGTCTACTTCCTCAACAACACGCCCTGTGCCCTTCAGTGGGCCATGACCAACGAGCAACCCCACGGCGGGCGCCTGCGTGGACCCTGCCAACTCTTCGACTTCACTGGAGCCCGAGGGGACCAGTGCCTGAAGCTCAAATACATTTCGGAGGGTGAGGGAGGCGGGACACGGGGGAGAGGGCAAAAGGGAGAACTATGTCAGCCAGGTAGAAATGTGGACCCCAAGTTTCATTCCCAGACTCCAGAGCAGGCAGAAGCTTCAAGGAAACCCTTTAGTGGTCTGCTGCTGCCTCCAGGAGCCCACAGTCTTTGTCTACTTCCTTCTGTTGTTGCCCACTTGGCCCTTGTCTGGAGGACAGGGGGTACCAGGTGGGAAGTATAGGGCAGAGCTGTTACACCTTGCAGGAGCGGGGACGGAGGGAGAGGCTTTTATTTTCCTATGATGATGGAGCTGGTGTTGGGAACAGGTGGTCCCAGTCACTGGCTGTGCTGCTGGAATTGCCCATGGTCATGGAGACCCATAGGAGTTTATGTGCGTGTGGACAGGGCACACGTGTGTGGGAAGGTGAGGGTATGTGATAGGTGGTAGAAGTAAGACCACTAATGTGTTCCCCTATCCAGGCTCTGGGGACTCAAGTTCACTTGAGACCCTCTTTCCCTGCTCATCCTTCCTACACATAGTACACAAAACCAAAACCAAACCTGTTGCCATGGAGTTGTTTCCAACTGATAGCGACCCTTATGGGTTTCCGAGGTGGTAAATCTTTATGGAAGTAGACTGCCCCATCTTCTTTCTTTGAGTCCTCCTTAAATATTTGTGGAAGGACCTGCTCTCTGAAGCTCTCCCTCCTCTGTCCGTCCCTAGGTTGGGAGAATGTGGATGACAGCAGTTGCCAGCTGGTACCCCATCTCCACATCTGGCATGGAAAGTGCCCCTTCCGTTCCTTCTGCTTCCGGAAAAAAGGTAGCGCAGGAGCCCCTTGCCCACTTCTTGCATGTTCCCCTCCCCTTCCTTTCCTTCCCCCTCCCCTCCTGGTAAACCTGGAGCTCTGCACCTCCTCCCTCCATGCACAGAGACCTTCTCTTACAAGTGAGGAGGAGCACACAGACCTTTGGAGAGAGAAAAACAATGTGTCCTACTCTGCTCCAGTCCGCAGATTTCCATTCTAAATGTACAGTACCTTTAACTTCACCTGATTTCTCACCCTAGGCCTTGTCATCTGACTCACCTGCTGCCTCATTCTTGCCTTTTCTTTGTAGCCAGTGAGAGTGAGGACTACTCAGCACTAACCAATGAGATCATTGTCACCATGCACACCTTCCAGGATGTGAGTAGGAGCTGGGGACAGGAAAGGCAAGGCCGGGGGTGTCTTGAACAAAGAGGGCAAGGGGAATAGTGCCTAGGGAGTACAGTCTTAATTGCTTAATCAAGCAGGGAAGATAGCATTTTTCCAGAACAGCCATACCAGCTCTATGAGGGGCTGCAATCATGAGGCCTTCAAGTTTCCCTCCATCTCCAACTCTTTCTTGGCTACCAATGGATAAATCCCTAAATCCAGCAGGAAGTGAAAGAACCAGACATCATGGAGTGGTTCCTTTCTAAGTTGATTGTCCATACCTGAGATGTGTATCTTCAGTGTGGGGAGTAACCAGGAATGAGTCTTGAGTAGGTGGGATGGGAGTTAGGTATTCCCTCTTCCCCTGTCTAGAGAAGTTATGAGGAAATCTGGGTTGAGTCTTTGGGGAAACTGAGTGGGCATCTTAGTGGAGGATAGACAGACACACCTCACAGTATCACTTGGGGAGGAGGAACCTGAGAAAGGAGAATAGGGGGAAGGGGCGTGTGTATCTTGAGTTCAGTGTCTGTTATTCAATGACCTCTCCATGACCCTACCCAGGATTTCTCCTGGTGTCTTAGGACATACACTATTTGTTTTTTGGTTCCAGTTCCCAAAGGGATTAGTGGGTAAATTTAAGGCTGAAGGTGGGATTCTGAATCAGGTAAGTGGAAGATAAAGAGTTCTGTGTGGGGCAGAGCTGTCTCCTTGGTAAAGTTACCCAGGATGACAGCCTAAAGGACAGACAGGAGGAATGGAGGTAGGCTCCTCAGCTTCTTACTGAGGGGGATGTCTCATGACCCCGAAGTGTGTTGTCTGCCCCTCTTTTGGCGCAGGGCTTGGAGACCAAGTACATGGAAATCCTCAGGTTCCAGGCGTCAGAGGAGGAATCCTGGGCAGCACCACCCCCAGTATCCCAGCCTCTCCCATGCAATAGGTGAGGTGGGAGCATCCTGGGCTGCTGCCTGGGGAATGTTTGGGAATCCTGCCCCAGCTCCCAGGGAGGATGGGGTGGAGAACCAGTTTGGGTCCTCCCCTCCAAGAACACCAGTTTTCCTCTTCCCCAGGCTGCCCCCAGAGCTCTTTGAGCAGCTACAGATGTTGTTGGAACCAAATAGCATCACAGGCAATGACTGGCGCCGACTGGCCTCCCACTTGGGGCTCTGTGGCATGAAAATTCGGTAAGAAGAGGGGTGGGATTGGAAGAGGAGGGCGGACTGGGCTGAGGGTGAGGTCTTCAGGATATTCTAGGGAGTGGACGACAGATCAGGGATTGACTTAAAAGTCAGAGAATGGCTACTCCTTGTCGTACTTTCTATAAAAGGGCAGCTATTTCTATTTGTCACTGAATCCTCAATACCTAGAATGATGTCTGTCACATAGTAGATGCTCATTAAGTATTTTAAAATGAGATAATTAACATGCAGGCCATTGCATGCTTGATGTGCAATGCCTTTAGGGTTGAGAATAGCAGATGATAATTTATAGCCCAGTGCCTGGCCCATGCTAATTGTTCAATAAGTACTAGCAATAATGGGAGAAATGCAGCCATGCTCCCTTTCTGGGGACTCAAAGAAATCAGTAAGAGAACAATTCTGAGCTAAGCCCTAGGGCCCAGAGAGGGATACAGAAAGGTTGAAAAGTAAAGCAATGCTTCCTTGTACCTTATTGTATGTATCCAATAGTGCATAACAAGTTGAAAACAAACACACTGAAAACAGCTGAAAGTAAGACTAGCAAAGAATTGTGGGAGCTATGACCTGAAGTCTGAAGTGCAAACTGATCTAGGGAGCATGGAATGGTCACTTCCATTTGGTTGTTGTTGTTGTTATGTGTCGTGGGGTTGGACCCGACTCATAGTGACCCCTCCTTGGGTTTCCGAGGTGGTATCACTACAGAAGTAGATTACCCAACCTCCCTTCCGAGGAGTGGCTGGTGGGTTTGAACTGCCAGCCTTCTGGTTAGCAGAGGTGGGAATTGGAAAGAACTTCAGGGAAAGGGTGGTGGGGTGCTGGGGGAGGGGAGATCAGCAGCAAAGGTGGTTGTGGCTGTGGTGTGTGCAAGGTGTGAAAAGGACAGGCCTGAAGGCACTTGACTGCTAACCAGAAGGCTGGCGGTTCAAACCCACCAGCCACTCCTGGGAAGAAAGTATCACTTCCATAGTGATACTGCCTCGGAAACCCAAGAAGGGGTCACTATGAGTCGACTCGACGGTACATAACAACAACAACGAAGATGGTTTAGGATGGGAGGGTGGGATGAACTGGAAAGTCAGGCGGGTGGGCTTGGAGAATGGGAGAGATTCCATGAAAGTTTTTGAGCAGGACAGTGCCATGACAAAAGCCATGGTTTAGAACAGTTATCTCCTCAGTGGTGAGCAGGGTGTTGTGGCTCAAGTGAGACAAGGAAGAGGCCAGTTAGGAGACTGGGATGAAGGGAGGAAAGTGTCCTTGGGGTGGGGCAGGTAGAAAAGGCAATTACAGAACAAGAGAGCTGGAAATAACCTTAGAAGTCCTCTCATCCAAGCCCTTAGTGTAAGAGGAAACTGGGGCATAAAGAGGAGTAGTAGTTAGTCTCTGAGCCCTTTGAATGATCTCGGTCGAAAATTCTGGGCCCTTTTGCCACTAGAGCTCCCTGAAAGGTAGGCAAGAGCAGGAAGAGCAGCAAGGGCTCAGGCGGGAGTTGATCTGGGGACCAGCTGAGTGTGAGAGCGGTGGTTCTCAGGGACATTACGTGAAGCAGTGCCCCAAAGAGGGAGGAGCTTCTTTCCTTCTTTCTCTTTCCCTCCTCCTTGGCCTCCCACCAGGTTCCTGTCCTGCCAGCGTAGCCCTGCGGCCGCCATCCTGGAGCTGTTCCAGGAGCAGAACGGTAGCCTGCAGGAGCTGCACTACCTCATGACCGTCATGGAACGGCTGGACTGCGCCTCAGCCATCCAGAGCTACCTGAGCAGAACACAAAGCCCGGTTCTTGCCCGTGGGCCCGCAGTGGAGAACCAGGGCATGGAGCTCGATGAGAAGCTCTGAGCGCCAAGAGGGAAGGGGGGCAGGGTGCGGGCCCTCAGTATGTTCCCACATCAAAGAAGAACACAACAGCTGTTACTGTCTGTGCTCAACGACCTTTTCAGAGCCTTAAATGGTGCCTTGAGAGAGGTCCATTGCCCGCCTCTCTGGGACTGGACCGCCCCTCTGTCTGGGGAACTTTGTCCTGCGGGCAGATCCTTCCCTGGACGGCAGGGGGCGCAGGAGCCAAGGAGATAGCCTGCATGGCCCACCTCGGGGGGAAGCTATTTCAAGGACTGAGCGGGACTGTCTGGAGGATGGGCTTCCTGCTGGCACTCCTTAGGAAAGAATGTTTAGTCCATAAATGTTCACTGAGGACTTAGTGCATACTGAACACTGGGCTGGGCATTACAAGGGATACTGGAATATATAATATAGGGTCTGGAGCCTTGACAAGTTCACAGTTCTCTTGGGGAGTCAAGATGTGTTCATAGGAGCTGAGAGCAAATTCTATAAAACAGCACATAACTTGTGGTTAAGTTGAGAAGGGAGGGAGCTGAGTGTAGGCTGGAGCAGTGATAATATTTCATGCTAGATGTTGGAGAGAGAGGATTTGGATATGCAGAGTGGTTCAGAGAGCTTTAGGAAGGGTAGGGGGTTGGGAAGATAGGCTTACATAGAAGCTAAAAGTGAGTATGGAGCACTGGAAGCCTCCAGGAGAGGAGCTTCATGGATGTGAGGTCAGAATAGGACATGTGTTCAAGGCCAGAGCTATGGGCAGGCGGTCCCCTCGTCTGGATGTCCATCTCTGTTTCCTTTTCCTGCCTGTATCTCCTTGTCCTCCTGCTTAAGGCTTGTCTTCCTCTCCCTCTGCCATCATCTCTATCATAAAATATTAAAACTGAAAAGAAACTTCAAGATTATAATTTTTTTTTTTCTTCCCTTCACCCAAGTTAGTACATGTCTCCTCTCTGTCTAGTTACCAGCTTACCCTCCCTTCCCTACCCACCCCTGGTAATCATTAAAGGATATTTCTTTTTTTGTGAAACCCTTTTCTTGATTTTTTTTACAATAGTGGTCTCATGCAATATTTGTCCTTGTGTGATTATTTTTTTTGTCCTTTTGTGATTGATTAATTTCACTCAGCATAATGTCCTCCAGGTTCTTCCATGTTGTGAGATGTTTCTCAGATTCAACATTGTCCTTTTTTATTAATTATTATTTTTAAAATTTTTATTGTGATTTGGGTGAAAGTTTAGAGAACAAACTCATTTTCCATACAAAAGTTCATGCACATTTTGTCTCATGACATTGACTGCAATTCCCCACAATGGAGCAGCTCTCTTCCCATTTCCTCCCTGTAGTTAGCTCTTCCCTGTGTCCTTCCCTTCCATGCACTCCTGCCCCTCCTCCAGCTGTCTCCCTGTGCAAAGACTGCCCTTCTATTCTCCCATGATTGATTGCTCCAAGTAGTGTATCTACCTGATGTAAATATTCACCCCATATGCCTGTCTGTTGTTTGGCTGGAACCCACAGGAGTGAGTCCAATCCCAGACCTGAAGGGTGGCTAGAGGCCATAGTCTCAGGGGTCTCACAGGGCCCTATCAGACTAGCAAACCTGGTCTTTTTTTTTTTTTTTTTTTTAAATGATTTTGAGTTTCATTCCACATTGTTCTCCCACTCTGTACAGGATCTCCTGCACCAATCACCCTCTGAGTGGTTGACAGTGGTAGCTGGGCACCATCTAGTTCTTCTGGTCTCATGGTCATATAGGCTGAGGATCACATGGTCTGCCAGTACCTTGGGGTAACTGTTTCTGTGTCTTTGCTTTTCTTCATTCTTCTTTGCCTTGCATGAGGAGAGGCTCATTGTTGCATCTAGATGGCCACTTTGGAAGCTTTTAAGAACCCAGTGGCTACTTACCAAAGTAGGATGTAGAGCAATGTTTTTGTCTCGTATGTTATGCCAATTGAGCTTGATGTCTCTTGCAACCATGGTCCGAAGCCCACAGTTCCAGTTACTCGTGCCCTTTGAGTAGCTGGCTGTGGCCAAGAAGCCACCACAACCTTGCCCTTTGTCAGCTCTACTATACACCTAGGAACTCTGGTAGCATAGTGCCTAAGGCACTTGATTGCTAACCAGAAGGCTGGCGGTTCAAACCCACCAGCCACTCCTTGGAAGGAAGATGGGGCAATCTATTTCTGTAGTGATGCTGCCTTGGAAACCCAAGGAGGGATTGCTATGAGTTGGGGTCGACTCGACAGCACATAACAACAACACTATACACCTGGACATTCTTATAGCACATACAAATATGCACGTAGAAACATTGTCTACTAACACTATACATGGTCATGGGCACACTACTCCCTGCCTAGACATGCCTGATTGTTCAGCCTGCCCACCCCTCTATCTACCCTCTATCCACTACTTTCCACCACTGACAATGCAGTACTGTACACGCGAAGGGGTTCATCTTTGTTGTCTGTACCTCCCATGTACCTCTCTATGTCTTCTTCCTCAATACCACTTTGTTGATCACTCACATTTGGTACATTGCCCTTCCCTTTACCCAAATCAATACTTGTCTCTACCGATCTAGCAGTGTTCCCTCCCCTCCCCTTCCACCCCTGTTAACCAACAAAGAAAGTTTCCTTCCATATATAAATCTTTCCTTGACTTTTTATAATAATAAAAGAATAACAAATAAATAAATACTAAAAGGACAAATACAATATTTGTCCTTCTGTGATTGACTTATTTCACTCAGCATAATGTCCTCTAAGTTCTTCCATGTTGTGAGATATTTCTCAGATTCAACCTTGTTCTTTAATGTTGTATAGTATTGCATTCTGTGTATGTACCATAGTTTGTTGATCCATTCTTCCACCAATAGGCATAAGATTTCCATCTTTTTGCTATTGTGAATAGTTATGCAGTGAACATGGTTGTGCATATATCTGTTCCTTTCAATGGCTCTTGTTTCTCTAGGATATATATCTAGTGGTGGGATTGCCAGATCATATGGTATTTCTATTTCCATATTTTCAAGGAAGCACCATATCATTTTCCACAGTGGTTGCAACATTTTGCAGTTCTACCAGCAGTATGAGGGTTCTAGTCTCTCCAAAACAAACCCTTGACAGCATGTTTTTTTTATTTTTTAACTTTGCTACTAGTACTTGTGTGAGATGATATCTCAATGTTGTTTTGATTTGCATCTCTGTAATGGCTAATGATCATGAATGAGCATCTTTTTATGTGTTTATTAGCTGTCTGAATGTCTTCTTTGGTGAAGTGTCTGTTCATGTCCTCTGCCCACTTTTTAATTAGATTATTTCCCTTTTTGATGTTAAGTTCTTTAAGTTTTCTATGAATTTTAGAGATTAGGACCTTGCCCAATATGTCTTTGTCCCCATTTTTTGCTCAGTCTGTGTGTTCTCTTTTTACTCTTTTGATGCACATAAGTGTCTAATTTTTAGAAGATCCCAGTTGTCTATTTTGTCTTCTGGTGTTTGTGCATTTTTAGTTATATTGATAGTGTATTTATGCTCTGTATGAGGTCCTCTAAGTTTGTCCCTATTTTTTCTTGATGGTCTTATGCTTTTAGGTTTTACATTCAGGTCTTTGGTCTAAATTGAGTTCATTTTTGTATATGGTATGAGATATGGATCTTGTTTCATTTTTCTGCAAATGCATATCTAGTTTTGCCAGCACCATTTATTAAAGAAAGTATCTTTTAAGATGATTGTTCTTCCCCAGCCTTTTTATCTCTTTATCTTGAACTGTGTGAGTTCTAAGTCTCTGATTTTATCTTTCTATTGCTGTCTCCTGTGGTCTCTCTGCGGCTGAGTCTCTGTGTGTCTCTCTGTTATTATGTGTTTTAGTGTCTTTCGGCTTCTACCTGGTTATACTCTTCTGTCTTGTGTGTTTCTTTCTCTGAAATTTTCAATCATTCCTCTCAGGCAAGTGTCTCTAAACCAGTGTTATGGACAAAAGGCTAGTGAAAAAGACTGGCTACTCTGGGAATGGATGGGTGGTTTTTCTTTTCCCTCATGGATCAATGTTTAGTTTAGGAACAGGAAGTAAAAAATAGGGATTAAAGAAAACCCATTCAGTGAACAAATACAATGTACCTACTATGTGTTAAACATTGTACAGAAAAGATATGACCAGGCTGGATCCTGAAAGACGAATTCAGGGTTTTGACTCAATTCTAACAATGTTATTGTTTGCAAACAGGTGGTGTTAATTTGTTCAAGGGTGGGTAAACAGTCTCTCTGCCAACACTAACAATTTGCTCCTGTAATTAAAGAATATTAAAGCTTTTTCTATAATGAGCAATATTGTATAATAAAATAAGAAAATTCTCCTTCTTTGTTACTAATCATGTTTTGTTCAGATTGGTAAAAGTGGATGTCAATATGAGTGGATTCTTTTGGTAAAATTGCACTTATGGGGATATGATGCGGGGGGGGAAGTGTTTTGTAGATTTTGCTCCCAGTATGAAAATTAGAGTAGCTAAAGGGAGCTCTGGTCGTATAGTGGTTAAGGCACTTGCCTGCTAACCAGAAGGCTGGAGGTTCAAATCCACCAGCCACTCCTCAGAAGGAAGATGGGGCATTCTACTTCTGTAGTGATACTGCCTCGGAAACCCAAGGAGGGGTCGCTATGAGTCGGGTCCGACTCGATGGCACGTAACAACAACAACAACAACAAGGCAAATACAAGAAATGATGTAGTAAAAGAGCTGAACAGAAGATTTCAAAGGGTGTCTCCAGAAGACAAAGTATTATAATAATGAAATATGCAAAGAGCTGGACTTAGAAAACCAAAAAGGAAGAACATACTTAGCATTTCTCAAACTGAAAGCACTGAAGAAAAAATTCAAGCCTTGAGTTGTAATGTTGAAGAATTCTGTGGACAAAATATTGAATGATACAGGAAGTATCAAAACAAAAGGGATGGGATATACATTCATTGTAGCAAAAAGAATTAGTTGACATTCAACCATTTTAGGAGAT